TGCAAATTTGTTAAGTCCATAAAAGTCAATAAAGTGAAATCATGCAGTGGCAAAAGGTGTGTCTAGACGATTTCTTAACTTTTTTTCTTTTCTCTTTCTGTGTGCGGTTAAAATCGCAAGAGAAAACACTTTACAAGTTCAAACTTTAGTTTGTTTTTTTTCAATTCACATTTTTTTTGTATTATTACCCGCAGCTAATTTCGCAGCGTCAGCCTTTTGGGCGTCTGCTGCTTGAATCCATTGTAGATTTTTGCTCGGCTGAAAACTATAGTTTTCTTCGGCCATTGTTTTACACCACACAATAGGCTATGCTCCAAAAACTTGCCCAATTTCAGCTTGGTATGCTTCACATGCAGACAAACAGTAGGGGAGAGCGCGAGGAAGAGGGGAGGGAGTCGGATTGTAGCTTGTTCTCGCCAAATGGTCTATGGCCCAGACACATTTTCGACTTTTTATTTGGGCGTAGAGGGGCCCACCTCAATTAACATGCATTCAATGCATGCCAGAGCAGTCTCTTGTGCATGTGCTTATCTCTATCGTTTAATCAGCGCCTTTGTATGCACTTTCACTTGCGCTCTTTTTGGCCTGCTGCAATTTTCAACGACACTTCAACACACACACACACACACTGCAGCGTCAATGCTGTCACAGCCCACTTAAGGGTTGTTAACAGCCCGCAGCCCCTTGTTGCCAGCATATTTTCCCCATTTAAGGCGTTTCGCCTATTTTGCACCTTTTGCCTGGCAGACATTGTCAAAATTCATAATTGAACAGTTTTGCCCTAAGCAACTAGATGTATCTGTGAGTGTGGTTGTGCCTCTGTGTGTGTGTGTGTGTGTGCTAGTCAAGTGCTTTGCCAGTGCGCATTTGCTAGTCGAAAATCTTTCGTTAATAATTCAAGAGCTTTTAATGTCATGAATATTCATAAAATTTTGAGCATGATTTGATTTTATTGCGTATTTTACTTTGTCGTCAACAGAAGCAGCAGCGGCGGCAACAACAGCATCAATGACAACAACAAGAGCACATTGAGACAATGAAAAAAGGATGCTCACACACAGACGCCCACACACACACACAAAGGGAGACTCAAGCACACACTTGTAAATCATACGCTGATGGGATTGCTTTCTATGATATACGATTTAAGTGATTTTTCCAATGAATTCTATGCTTAGTTGATTTCTATACAGAAAAAAACTTGATATTTATGATGCTTATAATTTATATCAATTTAGTAGAATAATTTAATTACAATACGCTTCAAAACCTTCACAGGATTTAGCTAATGGACAAACGTCTATAAAAATATATCTTTAAGCTAAGCTATAAATTGGAATATATTACTTATTTTGGCTATATCAAGACGATTTATTTGATCTATAAAACATTAGAATATGCAACATAAATTTTTAAAGATAAAAGCTAGCTAAATAAATATTGTTTATATTGTTTTTTAGCCTAAATAAATTAGTTTCTGTATTAAGAAGTTTTATGCATTTATAAAAATTAATAAATCTATAAAAGATATTTTTATGTCAGCTAAAATATATATTTATATATTTATGTTGTTTATGTTAAGTGTATATAGATTCCTTATTCCTCAGGAACCGTTTCAAAAGTTCTATTTTTGCTGTCAATCAACTCTTGTCAACTATACAGCATAAGGATTCGGTTACTTGAGGCAGCATTTATATTCGACGTTTTTATGCTGTGAACGTTAAATCACAATATCATTTTAACAAAAGCTCAACATACCGTTATTTAAGTTAACATGTCTTAACTTAACTTGTCTTGTCCCCCTCGACGTGTTCTCCACGCTTTCGCCGTTGCCAACAAACAAGACAACCCTTTAGAATTTTTTACGACCACACGTGCGTTTTGTTTTTCCGCTTCCTTCACCTGTCAGCCCCCTACCCATTTGCCTTTCACACCTCCCTTACCACTGGCACCTTTTCTGTTCCTTTTTCCTTTTATCAGCAAACGACGCACAGTTCGCGAATTTCTTTTTAAAGTTTCGCATGGCAACTCGTAAATTTAGTGGAAAATGTGTCGTAAAATATATATGTATATCGATGTGTGAGTGTGGGACGGCCAGGTGCGTGCCAAGGGAATCAGAGTGCTCAATTTCTTATCGATTTTCATAGCGTGCTGCGGGGAAGCGGACAGCTCATTCTCGGCTAATCATTGCGAGTACTTCGCTATTCAGTTCAAGTCCATTAAATGGCTATTTGCTTATCAATTTTTGTGTCAGTTAGTTTTTCGTTTTCCAGCTACTAACAAAAGCCACCGTTCGGCGCCCCGCGCCCCGGGCTCAAACGCAATTGTCGCATTGTCGTTGTTTATGGCAACGAATAATTTGGGCACTGGGCATTCAGAGTTGTTCATGCATGGCCAATACGTGACAGTCGCGTCTTTTGTTGTAATTGCGAGCTATGCTATGCTAAAAGGACAAGGAGTGGGAGCGTTTGAGGGTCTCCGCACTCAAATGAAATCAAATGATTTGCCGTGCAACTGATTTATGTTTAATTTATAGAGCTGGCTGCCGGCCTGACCGGCATGCAAATAAATTTCAAATGCGATGAAGACATAAACTCGACTCGGCCCAAAGGCGAAACTACAAACGAGGCCCAACAAAGCTTTGACACAGCAAAACAAAACAACTACAGAGAGAGAGGGAGAGCGTGAGTCAGAGACAGCGTCTGCTGCGCTGAAGAGAGCTGAATACGCGACAGACGACTGCGAGAGAGCAAGCAAACATGTTGACCAACTTTTTACTTGCGGTAGGACAGGACCAACGAAACCGAAACTGAAAAACTGGAGCAACAGCAGCTGCAGCAAATGCCGGCATTTCTCGTATAAGAGAGAGCATAAGTAAAAAAACGGGCGCTAGAGAGAGAGAGAGAGAGAGAGAGAGCAATGGAAGAGGCAACTGAATTGGCATAAAAGGCATAAACTTGAATACGTTATATTTTGAATTGTACATTTGAGCTACAGCCTAAAAATGTTAGTGAAAACTCTAACAGAAGCTGGCAAAAATTTAATAAATAATAAATAATACAATTTATGTAATTTATAAGAAATAGATGCTTTTATTTTTATATAATAAAATATGTTTAATAAAATGAAATAGGAATATTAAATTGGATAAAGTAAAGAAATGTTATGCACATATCAAAAAGGTCTTTTACCTACTGAGCACTTATATAGAAATATTTCTATACATAAATATGCAATAGATGTAAATTAAATATAAGAAATAATTTATTTCGTAAATTAATATAGAAAAGTATTTTATGAATGAAATTATGAATGAATTAAATTAAATATATATATGAATATATATTATATAGACATTAAGTGAAATATATGTGCACTTTAATTAATAATTAAGTTAAATATATATATGAGTATATATTATTTAGACATTAAGTAAAATATATGTGCACTTTAATTAATATATACACACATACATGTACATATATATAAATCTTTCTACACAAATCTAGTTTCAATGTTAAGCACCAAACTGCGCTAACTAGTCGAAGGTTTGTGTCCTTGCTAAGCCCTTTTATGTGCAAGCAAAGATGTTGGCTTTGTGAAACCAATATAGAGAAATGTATATTTTACAAAATTAGATAAAATAAAAATATACATACATATTTTTATTTATTGTCAGATGTTTTTATGTTTTCAGCAAATGGTTTTTTATTTTTCTTATATATAATTATACCTGAATAAAATTCCTCTTTTACTCTTACACTTTTATGCCTATTGTCCGAAGCCGACCTTTGGATTTTATCTTTAAAGATATATTTATCCTTAAAAGATAGACACATAATTTAGCATATAACTATCATAAGTAATTGTTGTTAATAAATAGATACTTTGATTTATTATAACTGTTAATCCATTTGAACAACCCACACCCAAAAGCATCACCTTCTATCTGCCGTATATATTTTATATTTTTTACAAAATACAAGAAGAGTAAAAATCAATTTTTCTATTGTCATCCTTCCACGCATTGGATCCGTGGGTTTCCCTTCTGGCCACCCTTTTGCGACACTTTGAGTGCATATTTCCGTTGCATTTGTCGCATCGGCGTTTCGTTTGTCAGCCAAAATGCAAATATCGCACTAAACATAAATCGAAGCATTTTCAATAAATCCCCAAAGTGTAGCCCTGCCTCCCCCTCGCCATCCTCTGACTCTGCCTGTCGCACAATAAAATGAAAAAAGGAAATTGTCAACAATACTGTGAGACAAGGGAACAGTGTGTTTCACTATTTGCAATTGAATTTTCTGCTGTTGATTTGACACATGCGCCCCGCACCCACCCCCGCCGCCTTATTCGCTTATGGCGAATTTGTGCAGCAAAGTTGGATACTGCAGAAATCTGTATTCATTTAACACAAATTCCATTTCAATTTCCTTTTGCTTAGTTTATTCATTCTATTGTTAGTTAAGTTAACGGCTACGGTTTTCTAATTTGTTAAAGACTCTGTTAAAGAAAAGCTATAAAGTCGCTCTGCAGTGCAGTTAACACCAGGCTGGAAAAGACGCACATATATGAATGAAAAAGCAGACCGCGAAAAACCCTACAAAACGGAAAGCTGAGCCGTGTGGCAACTAACGTAGCGGGTCTTTAATCTTCTTAAGTGCAGCCAAAGGCAGGCAGCTTTTCCTAGCTCTACGCTCACTCTCTGCCATACACCATTTATGCGCTATCAGCGCAGCTGCTCGGAAACCAGACTGCATTGAGCTCCGCCAATATGGTTTATGGCTGAGCCGAGGTGGAGTTTGTCAGGCCTATTTTTGTGCTTTTGGCCAACAGTAGTTGGACTGCAGTAAAAAGAAAGCTCGAGGAATTCAGAGGCTTAAGAGATTGATTAGTAAAGCTTTCAGTGGGAATCAGATATATATAGGGATATAGTTCTATAATGTTGATCTCATATCGTATCTGGTATGATTTTTGTATCAGCATAAAAATAATTAAGTTTAATTTAATTTTTTCAACAATACAAATTCATTAAGTTTGTTTAACACTATTGTTTTCTTAGCAAAAAACAAGTACCTCGCTCGCCGCATTAGCCAACGAAAATAGATGGGATTCCTATCAGCGAACACGACAATCATGAAAGCAATGAGTACCAAAATTTGAAGGAAGTTGAAAATCTTTCGAACTATGCCAGAGCGCCTAGTCTTTGGCACACTTATCGCGGGACTCAAATAGTTGTGTCTTCTTGTTAAACTCGCAACATCAAATACCCAACGAATACCAAATTTTGGGATTGGATGAATTATGGCATATTTCACAGACTGCCCAAGAATTGAACCTATAAAAATGAGTTGAGGCCATTAATGGACTACGAAATCATATGATGTGGAAGCACCTACCTCTGGGGGCCAATTCAATGAAGGCCACGGCCGACAGTTTTTCCCTCACAATCATATCTATATAGCTGTGGCAAAAAAATTGTAGTTCCAATGGAATATGAGCAGTTAACGGTTCTCTGCGTTGCAGCCAACTGGGCGCTGACTGGCCAAACCGGGGCTTGACGAGGGCTCTCCCAATTGTCGGTTTATAAATTGCAAGTTGTTGATGTTCTTCAGCCTCATCGTCCGTGGGCCGACAGACTAGCATCAAGGCCCCGTGCTCAGTCTGTTCGTTTATACGCCTAATATTATTTAATGAATTCAATGCGATTTCATGCAGACTTTTCTGATCGTTGATTTTCATAATTGTATCCTTCGCTTGCCTATTTAGGCGATTTATGTTGTTTGCTATTATATCGCCTCTTATTAGAATCTTTCTCATTTTACACAATAAATTGTGAAACTTTTCTGCTGCTCGATTTCGCGCCGTAAAGTCGAAGGGTAGTATACTATCCATTTTTTCGGCTTTCATAAATTCTTCATCTTCTGTGCCCACCAAGCACACCTGCTCTTCCTCGTCCGTATCATTATCTAGCCAGTCCTGCCGGTTCATACTTTGTATCTCTTCAATTTGCAGCCCTGGTTGCTCGATTTTAAATTGAATTTCTCTTGGCCTCTGTAACTTCGCGCAAATATTTAATTCCAATTTTCGTATCTCTAGTCTCTCTTCGGCTTCATATCCATCCACTGTCGTTTCGTCTTCTAGCCAGTCGTCGAGTCTACTTTTTTCAATCTTTTCTATTTCAATATAATATTTTTCTTTAGCCATATCGTTAATTTCATTGGGTTTCTTAGCTATTAGTTCTCCCATTGGCTTCTTCAACAACTTCATAATATTTACTTTATTTTTTCTTATTTCTAGTACCTCGTCTTTATCTTCCGTTTTGTCTTCTAACCAGTCGTTGACTTTCGTTTTTTTAATCTTCTCAATTTTTATAAAATGTTTTTCTTTGCCCTTGTCCTTAATTTCTTTTCCCATTTCCTTAAGGTTCCCCTTTGATTTCTTTATATTAATGATTTTCCTATTTCTGATTTCTGGTCTCTTTGCGTTGTTCATGTGTTTCTGATCGTTGGTGTTCGGTCTTGGAGTCCTATCTGGATCCTCAAAGCTCTTCGATTTCGTATGGCCCACGGGTAATTTTTTGTTCATTTTATCGAGTTTAATGTTCACGGCATTTTTCCATACGTTCCGTTCAGTCTCAGCCTTTTTCCTATTCAAGTTTTCCGCGTTTTTCACAGACTTTTTAATTTGCGCATTTTTTAGATTGGCTTTGAGCTTCGGTACGCATTTCTTGACAGGTTCGATCTGGACTAATGTCTGCTTCGTATCCAGCTCTGCTTCAATTCTTGGTCTTCTCGTCATGGCCTTATTGCTGTTGTAGAACAGTAAAACATCCTCGTTTAAAGGCAACGGCGCCTGCTCCTGCCTATAAATGATCTTTCGAGGCTTCGGAATTGAAGCGGGATCAGGGGCAGGCCTCGGTTTCCTTTGGTTGGGCAACATATTTGCTTTGCTCTTTGGCCTATTCGATGCCCGCAGCACCTCTTGAGGGCTCAGCCTCTTCGTTTCTAGGGTTGATCTGGTTCTCTCCTTGGCTTTGCACACCTTGTGCCTGCTCGTCGCACTTGCAACCAGAGTTTGTAGTCGAGTCACCAGCTCCTTGCTGTCAATGAGCGTCACCTGTTCCGTGTTGAGCAAATTTTGGAAGTTGGTTTTTTTAAACGCTCCCGTCTTCGGCTGCTCACTGAAGTATGGGACTCCGTTTGAGTTGATTGCAAAGGCTTGAGACTCTCTGGCATCGAGCACAACTGGAGTATACGCATGCGGCTTGGGTGCACCCAGATAGCTGGGCTCGAAGAACTTCTGTACTACCATGCCCAGGTCATCCTTGAACCTCTGCTGCACACCAATCAGCTCGCCCTCGATGACCAGCCATTCGGTTTTCTCCGTCTGGTACATCTTGTACGTTTGCCGGCTGCCTACTATCCGGCCGGCAATGTTCATTAGCGTGCTCTTTCTGGCCAAGCCATAGTTATCAATCCGGCACGTGGCGCGCACTTTGGGTAGACTCTGATTCGACTTGGCCTCCTCATTGGCTTTGCGTGGGCAACAGGCCGCAATTTTCTATGGAGAATTGCATAACGAAATGTATCTTAATTTAGTACACATCAGCGACTTATACTAACCATAGTTATACATTTGCACTTATAAAAATATATATACTAATTATTTGTTGTTATTTTTGACAGTTGTCGTCAGGGTGATTCCAATGTTTATTTGCCAACTTAACGCTTCCGCCTCTTGATGCCAATAGCAAAACCTTTCTATCATTTAAGCGTGTTTAATTGAGGCTTTAAGTTTTGTGCGTGGATAATTTTGTTGGACGCACAATTTTGGGCAATCTGTTGATGTTTTAATGCCACAGCCGTCTGTTGTTGTTGTTATTGTTATTGCCATTGTTTTTGTTGTTTGTGGCACTACAGCATGGGGCGCCTATTTTCCCTGCGCCACGCCCTCGCAACTTCGCGTAATTTGTGCTCCACTTTGGAGCGTAAAACTTTCAAAAAGTCATCAAAAGTTTATGTGTAGCCAGGACCACCTAAGACGGGACATGATTCCTTCCGGCCGTAACGTAGCCAAGTCTTGCATATGTTTTTTCTTTTCTCGTGGAATACCCATCGAAAGTGGAGAGTCTAGATTGCATGGAGAGTCGTTCAACTGATAGAGCTTTGACCTCTTTGTTCTCATTAGATTTGGATACAGTAAAATTCCTTGTAGAGCAAATGAAATCCAGCTTAGTCATATTTTCGCTCAGCAGTTCTCAAATATCATAAGAGCGAAGGTGAGTGAATCTGACTAATAAGAGTTCTTCCAGTGGATGTCTTGACAAGTAAGCCGAGCTTAGTCTAGCCACAGCTGTACATCTTTATATTAAGCAGAGTTAAGACGTCAACATTTCCAGGGTATATTCGAGTTTAACTACAAAGTAAGGCAAGCTTAGTTCAGCTAAATCAACTTTTAATGCTGCTCCACAATTTCTCTGCCAAGTCTGATTCAAGCTCCAAATGTTTCACTTAATATATTTACAGGATATCTTCTAGTTGACTACAGTTCTTGACTATACTTGTTGGGCGGGAATTTTCAATGCGTTGGCAAGTTGTAAATGTCGTTGCTGTTGTTTCATTAAAGCCTTTACAAGTTCATTTCAGCGCGCATAATTTTATGAGACGCGACTTTAAGTTCAACGGTCTTCACTGTGCGCACTAATTAGCCGGCACCAAAAGGAAAATGCACTAAAAATAAACTGATTCGATGCTATCGAGCTGCCAGCCTTTGCTCTATATACACATATAAAAATATATATATATATAGGTGCGTATATAAATATATATATATTCGCCAGTTGCTGGTCAGCGCCATCAGTTGGCGCTGCGCTTTGTATTTCTGCTTCGTTTGCGACGCGTTGTAATTGCAAAAGTTTATCTTTATCTGGGCCACGGCCAGCTCAGCAGTGCCGGCAAATGGTCACATTAAAGTAATTACATTCACCGTTCCAGCAAAGCTTCCACTGCTGCTTCTTCTTCTACTTCTGCTACTACTTCTTCTTCTTCTTGCTTCTGCAGCATTCACAGCGCTCGCGTTAATTTGCTGCTCAAAGTGTAGAGCGGCGAGTGCGAGAGAGAGTAAAAGAGACGGTGGAAGAGGTAGAGACAGAGAGAGAGACGCAAAAGAGAGTGTTAGTGTTCTCAGCACAGTAAAGAAATCTGAGAGATTAGCCAGCTAAGATTGCAGCTAAGGCAACTAAACTGACTACAGTTGCGTTTACGCTTGGATTTGTACTAAAAGCGTGTTGAAATAATGCTGAATAGCGCTAATTCCAGTCTGTCATGCCACAAAGAACTTGACACTTCTTCTCATTAAGTGTTTTATTCAAATTATCCCAGATAAATGAATTGAGCAACTAGTATACATAGGCATGGATTTGCTGAAAGATTTTTGATTACGTTTTGATAATCACTTTGCACTTAATTAAGCGGAAATAATCGAATTTTATATTGATATATGTTTTCTTATATTTCTTTCTTTTCTCTTTTAGCCTAATGAAATCTTGACTAATAAGGAATTAATCCAGCAGTTGCTGAACCCTTTCTGCCTTAGCAAAAAATAATCTGATTTTGCAGCTAAAAGAAAAATATCTCAGCTAACTATCTTATGTAGTTCAACTGACTTTAATTTAATATATCTTATTGTTCAGATATTTTCATGATATTTACTGGATTTCAGCTTCGCTTCAGTGACTTTTGGTTATATTATCATGACAATAGCAGTTCAGGCTAGAATGATTTTTGCAATTCTGGGTTTTAGGAATACATTAGATTGGGTGCATTTATACCACAGCTTCAAGGCATGACTTCATTACAATTTCACAATTATTTTTATGTCTATATAAATTTTTTTCTATAAACCTACTGCAAAATAGTTTAGTTAAAGTATGACCTTTTCAGTTAAATTCTCACAAAATAGTTCAGTAAAAGTATGACCTTTTCAGTTAAATTCTCACAAAAACTTCGGTTAACTTGAAATCAGTTGGCAAAACCCTCGAGCCGTCAAATCAAATAACGATTGCATGGCCATGCAACACTCAACGCTCTGCGAGTTTTTACTAATTCCTTTAGCTTTTGGCAGGCAGCACAAAAAAAAAGAAAAATATCAGGAAGGCAACGGTGCTTTCACTCCCGCTAACCGATTTGGTCAGATAAGCCGAGATATGGCACAGAGAGTGTGGCATGCAAAAATCGGTTTGGCTGGCAGCGAAAGCAAACATTTTGTTTGTGCTAAAAATTTTGTGTGATTTCCCCACGGAAATTGATGATGGTGTTTGCTGAGTCGCAAACGTGTTGGAGGAGTTAAGCGAGACGATGGTGGCGGCGGCCAAGAGACCAAGAGCAATAGAGCCCACCTACAGTGAATTTGTCATTTCCAGTCTAAACGTGCGGACAAACAGAGCCGGGCGTCGATTGGGCGGAGGCGCCAGAATGGAGCATAGGGACAGGTCGAGTCTGACTGCCTGCCTAGTGGCGTTCACTACGTACACTCGATGGTTCGTTTGTTTGCACGGATGTCAGCAGCCATAACAACCAGCAGAGTGAGAGAGAGAGAGCGAGGTAGAGCTGGGACAATCGTGGGAGTCGCAGTGCGTGTCGCTTTAACAAACCGGAAGTTACATGCGATGTAATGAAAAACGACAGAACGGAAGTTGCAATGGGGCACCCAGTGTACCCGGAATATATATAAGCAACGTATACCCAGAGCGAGCACCAGGCATGACCATGAACAGTTTTGTGCGTAGTCTGCGGGGGATTCGAGCTGAACTGGGCTCGCTGCTCGCTGTGACTGAGTTTGCCTTAACGTTCCTGGTATTTATAGACAATTGGTTCGTGATTGTTGACAGCGCACAGCGTCGCACAGAATGCCATGAACATCGGCATGACCATTGGCCAGCTAACACCCAAACCAGCAGCCCTTGCTGACACCCACACACACAAACACACAAACATAGCAGTGCTGTGCGTAGGCATTTGATTTGTTTTGTTTTTGTTGTTTTTTCAGTTTTTTTTGCATGGCTCATAAAAATCCTACGAAATATGTTCGAGCCTTGGCATTGAGCTGGCAGGAAATAGTGCGCAGTCCTCTGTTTTGTCAATTGATTTAGCGCTCCTGGCCATGGCAAATACACCAAATTCCTTTAGACGGCTATGTCAAATGCAAAAAAAAAAAAAAAAAATATTTCATATATGCAGCTACATATATTCTTCTTTTTCCTGGAAATTTCAGCTATGTCCGCGCAATAAACTCTGTCGTTAATAAAGAACGTAGCGCGCTGCGAGTTTTATGAACTTCATAATTATAGTTTAGCCAGTTGCAAGCGTTGAATTCAAACATAAATTTATCTTGGGGAAAATTAAGAATTACAGAGTTTCCTTAATTCAATTTATAGCACACAGATACAAAGTGGAGAAGCTTAAGCCTGGTTGAAAATGTAAAAATTGCAGCAAGTATTTTAAATTAAATATTAATAATAATGATAATGATAAAAACGTTAATAGGAATTATAAAATTAACATGAAAAATTAATTAGAAAATCTTTAAATTTTATATAGTGTGTTTTATTTAGAGTCTTATAAGTTTAAATCATAATATAACAAAGAAATTTCTTTCTGATATGAAAAATCTGGTCTATATTATATAGAACACCTTATGACATTAATTTTTTAGCTACGATAAAGAAATGTCATAAAATACTTCATACAAAGTAGCTATGAGATATTAATTAAATTGTCAAAAGCTGCATTGTTAGCTTAAAATTGCGAAGCTCTAAAAAACATAATTAAAATATTCCATTTGTTAAACCTTTTTTAATAGATTTTTAACAAATTAAATGTGTATTTGGATGACAACTAAACTTGATCATGAAAATCGTGGCTATTCTATAAAACATCACCATTCTGTAGTAACCTTTTCCTAAGCACACAACATATTACAGATATGGAAATAGCCCCAAAACAGATTTGAATTAGAGCTACAAAATACAGCTTCGAAATTGTTAATATTTAAAAAAAAAAAAGGCTTTTTTACCATTGAAAATGAGTACAAAAACATCGTCAAATTCCTGGATGGATTCATTAGAAAGCCAGACACAGGAGCTCCATGAGAAGCCAACTGAAAATCAGATCAGCTTTTCGGAATCAACGTTGCCAAGCAACGCGACTCCTGAGCAGGCAGAAATACAACGAATTGTGCAGAAGACACTGCTGCAGATGCAGGACGTTTGTCGTTTTGAGGATGTGGCAACGATAATGAGCTTGGTGGTGCCCAAGGTGCTCTTCGACCTGCACGCCTTCGATCAGCTGCACGACGAAGTGCAGACCATAAAGCAATCCCTGAACTCCTACATACAGCACTCCAAGGCGTTGGCCGAGGATATAGCGGAAATATTTCTAGACTTGCACAATATTTATATGAAGCTCGATAGTTTGGACAGGAATGCAACGAAAAAGCCGCGCGAAAAAAAGTTTAGCAAACGCCTGCGTGAAGCTGAGCAATTCCTTGAGAATGCCAAACACTACATAATCAATGATAAGACCTCTTCCAATACAACACGGACAAGCCCTGCACACAACGAACCCAAGCGGGAGAAGAGCAGCGACTCCACGCATCAGACACGAACGGCCGAGAGGCGTGCATTTCTCACCAACATGATAATGGTTAAGAAATCCGATTTCTCGATGGAGCTGAATCGCAACAAAAACTACTATACGGAGGCGGAAAGAGTGTTGAAAAATAAACCGGGCAGCTAAAACGGAATTTCCATCAGGAATGCATATGACACACATAAACAAATACAATTTGAGTTTAATTCGAAATTATTTGTGACCGAATTAAAAGATAATGACGTAACTGAATAAGCTAGTTTATGCTGTTATTTCTACTGACCTCAAGTGCGTCAGATTTGTTTCGCTTCTAGAGGCAGACAAAACTTAAAAATTGAAGCTAAAATTCAGGCTCTGTGGCGCAAGTGCTATACAAACAATGCCAAATGCTGTGGTAAGCCACTTGAAAAAAAAAATACATACACAAAAAATACTTGACTGTGAAATGCTTTGATTGTTACCTGAAGTGTATCTGTATCTCAAGCTCTCTCCCACTCACTCGAGTATCTATGTGTGTGTGTGTGTGTGTGTGTATTGGTGAATTTGCATACGAAACGTTGCCCAAGTGGCAGCTCGATTGGCTTCCTGTTGAATTTCGGAGCTCTTCCATTCCATTACCCACTTCATGCTGACAGCCGCACGGGACACAACAACACTTCAAAGTGTGTGTGCGTGTGCGTGTGTATTTGTGGCTTTTTCAAGCTCATTTTCTTCGGCATTTTCATTTAGGCTGCTAATCGCATTTGCAAATTTTAAAATCCAATGAAAAATTTTCTGCTGTTTCGTTTCTGGCCAACACAATTGGCATTGTTATGACGAAATGGCAAAGAAATCAACAGCAATTTAGATGCCTCGACCAAATGTATCATGCATGGCATGCATATGGCCAGCGAGGGTATACTCAATTGTTTTGGCATAATCATAGCTTTGTTAATATAGTATATATAGTTCAAATTTCTCTATGCAAATATCAAAAATTCTTGCTCCAATGAAATTTTCATTTGAATACAATTTTAGGAATAGATTTCGATTAGAATGAATTAATTTTCAAGATTTTAGAGTTACATTGAAAATCGATTGTTCATAAAAATAGTAGTGCCGGATGAAAGTACGTAAAAAAAAAATAAAAATCCAAGAAAAAATTTAAAGCAAAAAGTATCAACAGTAAATGTGACTTATTCTGTTATTAAATATAATTTATAAATGGCAATTTGTTAAGATTTTATTGGGTTGAGAAAAGTAAATTTAAATATAATAAATATGTATTAAGAGAATAATTAATAGATATAAATATATTAAACATATAAATACTTCTATACATATGCCTCAACTATAAAACACTTGACAACTTGTCGAGCTGCCCTCATTTTTTTAATTATGGCCAGCAGCTGTTCAGATTGAATTCCTTGGCTCGAGCTGTGGGGCCTTTAAAGAGCCTGAGCTATTGTGGCTGTCTGTCTGAATGAGGTTAATTCGATTATCGATATCAATAGCAGTAGCAGGCGATAATTGATTTTAGCAAACGCTGCAAACGATTAATTGGACGCAGACTTTGCCCAGAGGTCCGATGGACCAACGCAGCACCAATTGCTTTGCCTCTCCATATAAACACACACACACCCAGTTACTCACATTTATTGCCAAACAATTGAAGCCCAGTGCTTGGCTATTCTATTGTTGTCTTTTTACTGCTGAGCCAGCCAAGCTGTATGTGTGTGCACTCAAAATAATAGCAGAGCACATAGAAGACAAGTACCAGGCCCCACTTTGGGGCAAACTCAGGCTTGGCTTCGAGGCGGGCTTGAGCAGCCAGAGAGCGAGTCGGGCGGGAGCTTGACTGCAGTCAGTAATGGCAGCATTTACTCAATTTTAGTACATAGTAAACGTATTTCTTTTATGGCCCCGAGGTTATTTGTGCGCTGCAGACATAGCTGCGTTCTATATTTATTTTTCAGTGTCCAGTCGCCCCAGTATTCTAGCTTCAGTTCCCAGTTCCCAGTTCCCATTTACCATTCCCATTCGCATTCGCACACAAACACAAAGCTACTATATATCCTGACACAATATAAACGAACTTCGTTTCCTGAGTGGCCATTTTACTGGAAGGCTTTTCATATGTATGTCTAACCGCCCACTGGCCCAGCCATTCACCTAGCCACCTACACCCCCAAGCCAGCACAACCTTAGCAAATACTCGCAATACAAAATATGATAAAGCACTCGCTCACATCGCTGGGGCAGAGGCTGTTGTTGTGGTTGTTGGCTTTGCTTCTGGTTTGCTTTTAATTGCTTTGAAGTAAACACTGAGAAATGCCCCTCGGTACATTCATAAATATAATTGCCAGTCAAAGGAGGGGGCGGCTACAAAAGTTTTCGGATTGCTGCCAAATTTAAGGCCATGCCATAAGCTAAGCTAGCCATAAACACAACCAAATGTGTGTCTAGATGTGTGTGTGTCTGTTTATATATTTACTGCAAAGATTATTGTAATATTGTTTAACACGAATTACTATCAAACTGCGCTAAAAAAATCGCATTTTAATTATGATATAATTTTCATAATTATTTATATAATTTTTAATATTTGTTCCATTCAATTTACATTCTATTACATTTAATTATATTTTATTTTTTGTATCTGTGAAAAAACCAAATTTTTATGCATAAAACTAAGCTTTAAATTATTATAATAAAAAAACACAACTCGAAGCGTTGGCAGCTGCATTAGGCCATAAATTTATGGCCTAAAAAGTAAACAGTAAATAAATGTTTATTGTTTTTGTTTCATTCGTTAGCTTTCGCAGCTCTTTTTGCAATAATTATTTAACGTTTTACATTGTTTAGTCGGCGTTTTTGTTTGTCTCTCTGTGTGTATGCGCGCGTGTGTGTGTGTGTGTGTGTATGTAAAACGGCTTTTGTTTGTTGTAAAGATTTAAAACGATTTGCATATTGTGCAAACGTTTCATGAATGATTCATGAGTATTACCCAAACAGATGCTAACAATGATTCGATTTTCTATGTCGGCAATGTCACAAGGACACGACTCTGAAAATATGATATATATAAATATGTATATATATATATATATAGGTATTTAGTACATTTAAATGAAAGCCTTCGTATTTAAGCCATGATTAAAACATAAATATGTATTAATACAAAATTCCATTAATTTATAATATTCAGATTCACATTCACTCTGTACGTGTTTTATGTCAAAATATGAATAAATGAATATGCCTAAACTTCAGAGCTTAGTTATATCTCAACCTACTGGACTTTATTTACTATATATATTTTTTAGAGTTTTATGTTTAGCAAAAAACAAAGCATTCCGCTTCTTAGGGTATAGGCATATGGTAAACAATGGTAAGTGATAAGAATCGAGCTAGAATTAACGAGATATATATACTTATATATCTATATTTATATATTCCTTATAGAAACGCGTAGCTTGCAAATCACGTATCAATCGAGAGGATTCCCGTCGCCAAAGCAACACCTTTGGCGTGATTATGGAAGTGAAATCTTGGATCTTTAAGAGAAGCAAAGGCGAACAGACCACCTGGCTGAGCACACAGGGTGAAATGATTGGCATTCAGAACAAACACATTGACGAGCTGGGAATGAATATATCTAATTATAAGCAGCCCAATTTCAAAGCACTGGCTGAACCAGGCGAAGATGCACCTGACTTGGAAGCTAGTCCACATATCATGGACAGAATACCTTCTGCCACCATCTTTGAACGCATCAGTGCTCAATGCTTGTATCAAGTGGTTAAGCTGAATACTACCAACCCTATTGACGATGTGATACACATTTGGTTGCCAGGCTTTAAGAATCGCATTTATCGTGAGAGATTGAACCGAATCAAGCCAAATACAAAGGTCTTCAAGTCACAGAAACTGGACAAGCTGCTGGATAGCCAACATGTTAAGCAGATAACCAGCCGTGAGCTGCTAGAAAGACTCAAATACTCCAGTCAACGTATTATACCACGCCCAAGCCGCATAGTTAAGGAAAAGAATCGCGCCACACGTAAACAAAACCAATTGCTCATTTGCCTGAAACTGACCAGGCGCAAGAGGCACTATATGCCAGGTGGGTGCTTTTCGACTAAACAAAAGCCAGACTCTATAACTGAAGTACCTTTCGCAGAGTCCAAGCAAACTGTACACTGGATCAGAAAGGAGAAACAACAGTTGGCCGGACCACAATTTGCTCAAGTAGAGCTAACTTTCACTGGACGTCGCCTGGACTTTCAGCTGATTGAGGTGGAATCGAAGCAGCTGCTCTTGAAGGAGATTGTTCCGCCTGAAAGTGTTCACTTTGCATTTGACAAGAAAAACATGTGGATCTATGCATTTGTCCTTATATTCGTCGTGCTGGTCATGTTGCCCGATATTATCGACCTTTGTGTTTGGGCATCGAGGTTTTTGCCAATCGGTTTGAATAACGTTCTCATGCGCTTTGCTTTCTACATTTTTCACATCATTCTCATACTGCTAGTCAAGTCTACTTGAATGAACTTTGTTTAGATGCTGTATTATGCTCCTAAATTAGAGCTGCGTAGTATGGCATTGCCGAGTGTAGAATAAAGTTGTTCGATTTTTAAATCCATTGGTAAAGCAATATCGATCTTGATCTTAATTATCATCTCTTATCACTAGCTGCATCTAAATCTCTTAGAAGGCAATCTGCCGACAAATTGCTGAAGGAGTCGTGCGTGAGTCGCTGGCCGTACGCCGCTTTGTTCGCATAATGAGTCGCAAAGTCAAGTCCCGTGCCCACAGCGTGGCAAGTGCAAGTCAAACAAATTTAAGTACTTTCATGCGCCATAAGAGCCACCTGATAGAAATCTCTTATTTGAATAGGTCGCACCACCCAGCCAGCTAACCACCTGCTAAGCTACCTATTGCAACGCCTGCAGCGAGCTTTTATCTTACAGTCTAAATGCACTTTGCATATGGTGCTTTTTATTCGCTCTCTTGCTCACTCTGTGTCTCTGGGGGGCTGGAGCTATCGTGTGCGTCTTTCGTATCTTTGCGCTTTGTGCGATTTATGAATTAACTTTTTTGAATGAAGTCAACTTGCAATACAAACACACATACAGCGGGTCCCTCTCTCTCATGGTGAATCCTTACAAATGCTGGCAGACATATGTAAAAATGCTGAGCTGCAATTGCACAAAGTGAAACCGGCCCCACCTCACCCCCAATAAGATTTTGTAAATGGCGTATAAATAAAAAAAAAAAGCGTGCAGCGTGGAAATTTTTGCAGATTGCTTGAGCGCTGATAAATGGCAGCTGCTCTCATGTCTTTGACGCGATTTCTCAACAATTTGAAATACGAGCCAACCTCTGTCGCTCTCTCACTCTCACTCTCCCTCTCTCTCTCTCTCTCTCTCTCTTTCAGTCACTCTGCATATCATATTAGTTGAACTTTTGTGCATGCCTATAATTGAAATGCCGCTCTGACTGACTGACTCACTGACTGTTTGGCTAACTGTCTGTCAGCTTGTCAGTGAGTGAATGACTTGAGTTGAGTTGCTTCTGGCTTTGCGTTTGTTTTGACATAATTTCCACTTGCCTGCAAAAAGTGCCTGCATTATGTATACCATCCGACCATATTTGCTGATTGCATATAGATAGAATTTGTCTTACGTGTTTACCGAGCTGAGTCTTTGGACCTGCACTCACAGTACAGCTGCCTGTTTGTCTGTGCATCTGTGTAATGCGGGCAATTGTTGTTTTTTTTTTCGGATGGAACTAGATATAATTTTCATGTGAAAGGCAAATGCATCAATGCGTAGCTAGATATCAACGCTGAACTAGTTCATTGCTGTTTGAAAACTTTTAATATTTAACTCATATATGACAAATACAGCAGAATAGCTGAATAGAATCCTTGAAACCTAGTGCAGCTGTGCTACTGCATTGCAATAGCTCGCATCTTTTTGTAAGTCAAATAAGCGAAGCCATAAATAAGCTCAATTTTATCTGACTAAAACAAAGAAACTTGTAGCTTTTGAAAAATGCTATATTCTGATATGATATTAATGAAATTTATTATTGAAATAGTCGAACTAGTTTGACTTTCATATATATTAAAAAACTTTCTTTTTTGATGAATAATTAATTTTCTATCCAGTGGTACTAGTTCCGAATTACCTATATGCACAAAGTCTACTTTTACCATCGTATTTGACAAACAAAACTGATTTTTTTACATATAAATATTTAATTTTCTATCCAGGAACCAGTGGAACTAGTTCCAAAATGAAAAAACATTTTTAAATTCCTAAAACATAATACACACATTCACATTCACATTCAATAACAGATCTTCCTAATTTTTACATTTAAATATTCACGGCTGTATATACGAACTAGTTCCGAAAGGAACTTTTATTTTTAAGATATATTATGTCTTTTATTAATGTTATTCATCAAAAATTGTATTAATAAAGAAAGTAATGGAACTTTTGGGCGTTATATATACCCGATTCATTGGAACTAGTTCTCGATTACAATATATACTTAAAAATACAATACATATAACGTATTATTTTACAAATGAAATCCTTTTGGCAAAGACGTTGATAGGTATATCAATTTAAATAAAAATATATATAACCGCATCCAGAAGGAACTAGTTCCGAAAGCATTTTAAGGTTAAATTAGTTCCATATTGAAGAGAAGAAAATAAACAAGCCTTTGAATAAACTGTTGATGACGTTAAAAATAACCAACAGTTCGAATAGCACTAATGTTCTTCTGCATCATCATAGGAAGCTGAAGGATTCGACTCCACTACAGAAGGCAAAAGTATTGCGTGAGCGATTTAATCGTAAGTTATTTTTATATTGATTCCGCGTCATGCAGGGCACTTAGTTTGAAAGTTCAACAGCTGCAGTGATAAAAATGCGATGAGATTGCAATATTTTGAAAAGTATTTGCCCAAGTCGCTAATATTAATTTCCCCAACTTTGCGCAAAGTACAAAAGTCATGCCAAAAAACGAGGAATTTCGTATATAAAGAGAGAGAAAGAGAGGCAACAAAAAAACCCTCAAGAGTCATAATCATTGTGGCGCAGAGCGTGGAAGACTCACGCGAATGTCAAAGTTAATGCGCTTCAATGTCAAATTGAGAATAGCGAAAAAAAGTAAAATAAATAAATATAGAAAAAACAGGCAAATAAATCTATGGACTAGCAGAAGTGCTTGATTTGGCCAGGCCTAGAGCAGGAGAGAGGGAAACACGAACAAAAACGACGACCAGACATTTTATGGCTGTCATTGTTGAGCAGCATTCGATTTGAACCAAGAGGGTACGAGGTTCAAACTCAGTATTAAGAGTGGGGTTTTGTCTTTGTGTCTAGCGGTTAAGTGCTTTGACGCCTATGGCCCTACCCAATGCTCAAACAAAAGCGTCCTTTGACGCGTCTAGCAGCTTATCCTTTGTCATTTTCGTGTCCTCCGTTTCTGCAGCATTTCTTTTCTCCTTTTTTTTATAGGGAAGACTAAACATAAAAATTATGTTGCAGTGGTTTTTATTTATGACGCGAGTATGAATTGCTTTTCTCTGCTGCGAAGCTAAAATTTATGTCTCTATTGTTTTAAGCGCATTGCACAACATGAATCAATGATGTTCGAACAGATATATTTATAGATATATAAATTGATATCTATATATATATATATGGTATTTATATCTGCATTCTAATTCAATAAGCAGCCTATTCAATAAAGCCGCATCATACTATAACTCATTAAGCGTTGCCTCATATGGATAATAAATTGTTTCACATTTTGTTTATTACATTCCTGCCACAGGCAAACGGCGCCATTTCGATCTGTTGCTGTTAATTGTAATGGATGCCAGGATTTTATGATTGAAATATAAGCTACCCATGGATAATTGAACTGTGGGTATATTAATTAATCTAATGCTTGTTGTGTGGCAAAAGATTGAGTAAGCTAACAATAATATGGGCAAAGTTCTGTAATCGATACGTATCGCTAATGGCGTAAGGAACATATCGATAACATGCTAGACATGTCTAGAAGAGCACAGAAAAAGAACCGAAAGGAAGAAGAGAGAAAAAATCTGCAATGAGAAAGCAAAAGAAGGAAATGGAAGAAAGCACAGAAGAGTCACCAATAATGAATAAAGAAGAGCAACGATGAGAAGAGCTCAGAGCAGTGGAAAGAAAAAGAGAATAAACTTATTAAAGAAGATCTTATAGTTCTCATAGATGGCGTAGCAGATGACATTATAAAATAACTTGTTTATAACTGAAGAGAGCTGAGAGACTTGTCAAGCTATTTTTATAAGAAAAATGTGTAAAGAATTTGTATTAAAGATTGCTTTAGTATTTTTTTAAATATTTAGTTCTAATTAAATTAATATTATTATGACTAAAAGCGAAGAATTACGAATATGTTCTACTTAAACCTTTTCGAGTCATAACACTCTAAGCTTTGATACTTTTAAGAGTTCAGCTATAATAAAAAAACGAAATGTTTTTCCTTTCGTTGCTCCTTTCAAATACTCAAAAAGTATTTTCGTATTTTCATCTTTGTTTTTTTCGTTTTGCATATTTATTTGGTCTTTGGGCAAACACAAACACAGACACATATATGAGGCCATGCTAAGTGCTGCCTGCAACTTGGTTAGCTCTGTTTAATGAACTGTACATGAGGAAATTATATTTTGCCCAAGCAAGCCAGCAGCAGCCAGCAGCCAGCAGTCTAGATACAAAGAGCGAGGGAAGATGTGTCACGCATAGATACAGATACAATCTCACATGCTATACAAATGCACAGTTTAATTTTTGCTTGTCAAGCTTAATTTGCGCTTGAATGCATTGCCTGTGTACAGGGTATGTGGGTGTGTGTGTGGGTGGGTGTATGGGTGAGGATTGCATGCACGAATGACAGGACACGGCAGGCGACGCCACAAGAAACAGACGAAGAACAAGAAGCAGCAGCAGCACCGGCAAGGCGACTCTATGCGCCAGCTGGACGAGAGAAGTTGTACGCTCCGTCAGCATTTGTTAGAGAATGTTGTCATTTGGCTGGCATGACAGCAATATAATTACAGTGAAGACTGCTAACAAAAAACTGGAATATCATAAATTTATATTTCAATTAATTTCTGGGAACTCAACTAATTGGCTTGCAGGCACAATGCATCAGGTAACTCCAAGTCGTACTTCATTATAATACTTTATTATTTATTATACATTTATTTTTATTATTATATATTATAATATATACAATTATATAGGAACTATTAAAATTAAGTTAAGTTTCCTTTTTGTCTCCTTTGCTGCCTTCTTAGGCAATAGCTACTGTACTTTTAGCTATAGCAATTGATTAAGGCTGCCGTGTATTTCAGTTATATTATTGAAATTGATGAGCCTTGCGGTTAAGTTGAGCGCGTGGTCTACTTTAGTACCTTCGGCCAAATGCAAAATGCGTCACGACCCAAACGGAAGTGGAGCCTAACAACCTCCACTTGATATGCTATTAGCGATGCCGTCTCGAGCAGAGAATAAGATGAAATAACGCTAGCCACTAATGCGCATTGATTTTCACATTTCCACTGGCGT